TGTGTCCTGCTTTTCCTTGTTAGGGCTTGCTACCACCCTAGGGATAAGTGAATTGTTTATTTTCCTCTTCAAGAAAAAAAGAAGTTTTATGTTCCACCTAAAGCAGACAATCTGAACAGCTTAACCCTTTCCAGCTCTGTATGCTGTATTCAATCTTTCTATTTTAAAATTCTATGAGTGCAAACCAGGAAAGTTCTGATTTAACATAACACCTGCCTATAAGCTTCTCTATCTCTGCTACAAAAGCTACAGGGAATCAGTACTTCCCACCGGGCAGGGGAAGAATCAGTTTCTGGTTTTCATCTCCAGTGCAGAAACAGTGACACACGTCCAGAGCAGCAGCAGATTATCCCATATTTGGTAACACTGCTATGCTCTGAAAATTGAAAACAGAACTTCACAAAAGCAAAAAAACAATGGAATTTTAACTAAAGCCCTGTGGCACCATACTAAGCCACACAGAGCACTCAAAATGTCCTATATTGCATTTTGAAAATGTCCTCCATTGGTAATTTTGATGTGCCAGGTCATACACTGCTGTTAATTTCTTCTCCTTACTGATTAGTTTCACTCACTGCGCATTGGCAATGGTGGAGGCCCCATTCCTGCAGCTTGTTCTGGCAGAGCTTACACTCACAGATCAGGTTTTGCAGCAGGAGCCAGATTCAGACACCCAGGCTGAATTTCAGTATAAAGCTGTGATCCTCAAATGTCAAAATAAAAACAATACCCTTCCTCCCCCACCCATACACCTCCAAAATAAATAAAAAACAACACTTTTTTCTTTAAGCTGTGAAGCTCCCAGCTAAGATTTTGGTGTTTCTAGAAATTTACATGGTTTCAGCAGATGGCTGCAGAAGTCCACAGGAGAAGAATTCCATTACAATTACTAAATATGCAGAAATAATGCTTGGCTCTAGACATTTCTTAGCTGCAAATGGCTCGAAGCTCAGGGAAAACAGTAGACATTCCTGTCCAGTCCCGATTACCTTCCTTAAACATTTGTTTATGGGCATTATGGGATGCAAAATATTGGTCTTACTGAATTCTTGATCATACCCAGCCTGATCATTCCTATGTTCCTGTTATCTTCCGTTCCAAAGTTCCTTCTACATAATTTTATTTTCTCTCTTTCATTGCTGAGAATTCCTTACTTGAGAGATAAGGTTCCAGAAATGATAAAGAGACTTAGTAGTGAGATTAATCCACATCCCAGTAAGTTTCCTAACCAAGATTGTAGGTTCCACACTTGGATTCTGGCAAGTTACATGAAGAATCTGACCTATAATGATGATGCCTTTTACTAATAGATATTTTTAACACTGTTATATACCAGATTATTAAAAAACCTGTAGTGTGCTACGTTTACACATGAATAAAAAGGTACTGATATAAGTCATTGGTCTCCTTTTGAAGAATTAACTGCATTTATTTATATTCTGGGTGTACTGATGTATTAATCAAGAAGACAAGATAGCTATTGCTTACACAGTACATGTATACATGAGAAAATAAACAGTGCATATTTCTCCTTCTTACTTCCTTTCCAGCTTCTATTCTAGTCAGATTTTTTTTGTTTTTCTGACCTTGATCGCTGTTATCAATTTTCCATGCATCTTCTACCCTTGCAGTCTATTCATATTATCTTTGAGGATTTCCTCTTGGATTTTTGGCTTCCAATTCTTGCAGCAGTATTCCCTGACATACTGTTTGATGTTTTTGTAGGTCACCGACATACAGCTTTTACCTGCCAGCAAACTTCAAAGCCAGTAACATTTGGCAGTCAAACCTGTCTCAGGCATTTTTACTGGTTTGAAGGAATTATTAAAATTGAATGGCAAATGCTCAGCCAGCACTGGAGTCACATTCCTATGTGAGAGAAGACTGCCAGTGTTGCTTTTATATGCTACTACCGGGATAAATCTTGAGTTGGTGGTTATTTGAGGAATATGGTCTCCCAAACCACTCCACAAAAAACAGCATTAGGGTGGCAAGGAAGGAAGCAGCCTAGGTTTGCGGCCTCCCTCAGTTCAGACCTCTGGTTCTAGGAGAACAGAATTTTTTTCCCCATGGACATGTGCCTATTCCAGATTTTGTTCCCAGGGCAGCTACCAGCAGCATCTACCAAAGCACAAGAACCATCTGCAGTCAGAGGGAGCTGCTGACACACTGGGATACCGGATCACAATTAGAGAACAGTACAAACTCCAGCATCATCTCTGCCCCCAGAATTCTCTTGTGACTTCCAAGAGATATTCAATGTATCCTTCATGGAAATAGGTTTCTGATTTTAAAATGGCACCTTCTAATCAAGCATCTCCTCTCAATTCCTAAAGAAATGCGTTCATTTTTGAGAGGCTAGTTTATGTTTCTCCAGTTTGTTATGGTCTCCTTGAGAAGAGACTGACAGAACCTGTCACTGAACCTTCATGTTCAACAGCTGCCCTTGTCTCCTAGACCCAACACATGGTAAGTGTGCTTACAGACACCCCATTGTACCACCTTTCTGAGACGTGGGGAAAGCTGGGGTACTCATGGTGAACTGCATCCACATGTTCCTACCAAAACAGGTTAACTCAGTAGAAGGCCAGAGGGGTCTCCAGAGTACATTCTGCTATAGCTAAGGGGACATAAGCAGCCCCTCTGTTTACTAGAATTGCAAATTTGCCAAGACAAACTTGTCATTCTTCTTGTTATCAAGCACAATTCCATCACACTAAGGTACAAAAGAGCTGTTAACTTGGACACAAGCTAGAAGTTCGGTTATTTTTTATTTTGTATTGCAGTTTTCTTTTTATAGTGATTTATGTATTATTCAGATCTCATCTAGGCTACAGACCTTCAAGACAGTTTTTACTGAAACCAAGCTCTTATGCAATAAGTGCAAACCAATTATGGCTTCTGTGAGAATAAAAGTGCTAAAATACTGTGGTTTTCACTGTAGTGAATTGTAATCTGTAATCTTATGCCATATACTCAGCCAAAAGTAATAGAGCTTTATGCATTTTATTAGTTGACTCATGACCAATAAGCATCATTCTGAATTCTATCTAAACTCAAAAATAGAAGTATATCAGTTCTACTACCTCATCATTTAAACTCTGTGAACAATACTGTATTTCAAAATATAGTGCTGTATTAGATAGACATTTTCCCATATATATGCATAAAATAATGGTTCTGATTTTATGCATATTGTTCAGTAAGTGGTTTCTTAAGGAGTAGAAAGCCAGGTTTCCACTGCACGAGAAAGTGTTTAATGATAAATAACATATGTCATTTAAACCAAGGGTAGAGCATGTTCACATCTGTTATTCAAATCTGACATTACAATAGCATCTGCTGTCTTTCAGTTAATCAGATTCATTGTTACTAGTAAACACAACAACAGGAAGGAAAAAAACAGCCAAACCACTGTTGATCTTGGATCAGTGACTTTTGGGCCAAATCCAGTGTGAGAGTGATGGGCTACAACACAGCATCCCAGCCCATGGCTGCAGGGAATCCTGTGTTAGGACTTACACTACCTGTATTGTGCTCAGCAAGATTTAGAAGCCTCATTAAACAGCAGCTGAACAACCTGTGCCCTGAGAAATGAGCCATTAAGGTCAATAGAAAATACCCTTCAGAATTTTAAGTGCCGCACCTAGGTTGCAGGGAGGTTCCTGGCTGAGGTCTACTCAGGAACTGCCTGTTGGAACCAGGCACCCACAACTCTTTCATCAACAACTAAATGGCTTTCACTAGTTTTTATCATACCAGGGATTAGAGTACTCAAAGATATTTAAGAGGTATTTAGTAACTTGCTCGTAAAGGCCATACCCACATCTTTTCCACTCACATTTATGACAGATCTGTTCACTTGGAGATGATGTCTCAGTATCTCTTGACTGCATATCATATGGTTTCATCCCCTCTGTTCATAATTATATCACTGGAGTGAAGATTCAATACTTGGAAAAGAACAGAAGGAAGTACAGGAGCAAGTTTGCCTCAGAATGCTAATCTGAATTCACTAGCACCAAAAGATTCGGGCAATAGCATTGTGCTTTCAAAACCTATGAACACGTGATTACTTCAGCAACTACATTAAACAATATCAAACCCTCCAGCACATATACTCACCATTGTTCAGTGAAAGTGGGATGACATTTAAAGACATAAACTAATGCAAATGATTAAAACTACTACATCACAAAGCAAACCCTATTACTAGATTTGGTAAGAACACATTAGAAAGAACTTGACTAAAATATTCACACTATACAGTTCAGGTTGAAAACCACTGAATGAGTTCCTTATTAAAATACTAATGCTTTCTTCAGTGGCATGTGATCAGCATATGGAATTCAGTGAAAACTGCAGATCAGCTACACATTATAACTGGATTATTTTTTTCTAGTATCATTAGTATTACAGTTAGATTCTGTTTTTAGTTATAAAACTGAATTAAGAAGTCTCTATGCTAGAATAGATCAGTTTGATGTCCAGAAGCTACAGAGAGGATAAGATATACCTTCCTCCATAATGACGAGAATAACCTTTAGTTTCCAGCCCTTTTCAGAAGTATGAGATGCTGGCCTTTAGTCACACACAGCAGAGCTCAGTCCATCACCATCACCTGTCCTACTGCCCCTGTTTAGGAGCTGCATCCTTGCCTAGTTCCAACCGTGTGACATTGGCACACAGTCACTGTGCTACAAGTTCACCACCATTAGGTCAACGCTCCTCACTAATAACTACAACCTCTAGCCTTTTACTTCACTTGTTAAACAAGATTCCCACAAACATATTAAGAGTAATGTATTTTGTGAGTGCACTAAATATAGCAATTTGCGCACATCTAATTGCAAGCTAGGAATAGTTTTGGTTTAGCTTCTCTTTTTTTTTCCCTCTCCTCCTGAGGTAGGCAGAAATAAAAACAAACCACAAAACATACACCCCCAGATCTAAAACATATATTAGCATAAATGCTGAATATGATTTTTTTTTTCCTGCAGAAACTGAGGAATCAACAGTGCTGATCTTTAGGGAGTCTCTCTTACGCTTGTCTACAATCTAAAATGAAGATACGATCCCTAACAGGAGAAACACATATGGATGCAAAAAACCTGTGAGACTAACCCAGGAAACACTGGACTAAAACAAGAAAAGATATTCCAGCTTCACCTCAAGCAGGTTTGGAGGCTGTGGCTCCCTACCCTATCATAGTTACACTTAAATTTACCAGTGGTGATGAAAGCCATATTTCCTTTTTTAGTTAAAAAAAAAAATCCTATTGACTATAAGACTTCTAACCATAAGGTATTTCTTGAAACTGGGTCATTTTGTCAAGACTAGGACAACTATACGAGAACATCAGAGGTGGGAGAAGGAAGTGTTAAAAACAAGGAGCGAGGAACAGCAACCACTTAATCACAGGTAGTACATTTAATTGTTTTTAAGGACCTTACCTGCTCTCCCAAGGTGAAGTAAACGATTCTGTCTTGCAGAGATGCATTCTTAATTTACCTCTGAAAGTTTTCTTCAAGCCCTGTCCTAGAGCATTGTTCTTAGCTCCCTTTTTTATCTAGTAGTATTTGCGATACCATAGAGAATGGGTTTTAAAAAAAAAAAGTCTCTAGCTAAACATACATTTGTTTGTTTGTTTTTCCATCTTATTTATCAAACTCTTAAGCTACTAAGAGCCTTCAGGTGTATGTAAAGAAGTTTTGTTTGCTGTTAGAGCAACACTGCTCAGTGGTTTCGGTGACTGCAGCATGCTGCAGCACAGCCCAAGGGCACCGGTGTGTCTTACGTTTGTCATCTACTGCAGACTCCAAATATAAAATTTCAGGCCAGCAGATACTTCACTATGATCCCAGCAGCTTATTTTACTACCACAACAAACAGTCCTTATTGCCCAGAGCACATCAGGCCAGTATCACCTCCAAACATGCCCCAGCCAGCCCTCCACTCCCTACAGAAACAACTTGCCCTTCTCCCAGCCCTTGGCTGGAGAGCTTCCTCTGCCTTAAATCCAGCTGGTGCCCATGCCTGAGCTCCAGGCCTTCTGGCCCTGAAAGCAGCAGGTGTTTGGGCTCTAATTAGGGTTGGCTAATAGTATGTTTGGCAAACTAGGAAGGTTCTGGAAGTTGTTTCCTCCATGCAGCCTTTCCTCTCATTCCTCACCACCTACTGCCCCTCTAGACAACTGGTAGTTAAGGTGGAAGTTTTTTAAGAAGCTGCTTGTTAAAGCTTAGGAAATGGGGTGCTGCCTGCACCAGCGGCGATCCTTTTCCTGGAGGATGAGTGCATTGAGCTGCCCTGTGTCTGGCGCTTCTCCCACACTGCGCTTTCAGCCTTGCATAAGCTTGGAGGAGTAGTTTATGGCAGCATATAGCTTAACCTGAGGACAGCAGGATGTTGTGTAAAGAGAGGGAAAACTGGGGAGAAGGGTTTTTGGTCAGGCCTTCTGATACAGTTGAAAAGAAAACTAATGACTCTTGGAGCATTGGGTTTAAGATGAAAGCAGTGGAAGGACAGAGCTGAATGCAGTGGCTCTGTTAAACCCGATGTGTGTGTCAACTATCACCTGAGAGAAAAAGACAGCAACTGTGGAAAAGAGATCACTGGAGAAGAGGGCTGTTAGCAAGGGTGAGGTGATGGAATGGTAAGCGGTAAAAAAGACTGATGCCTCCTTCACTGTGTTAAGAAGTACAGAGGGATCATCTTGGAGATGAATTGTAACAAGCCATTAAACAAAAAACACGTGTGTTTTATTTAAAACTTGCTAAAGCTGTGCCTTCTGCTTCCTTTGCTCTCCTGAAGCACTCTGGGGTCTGCGCAGAAGCTCAGGCCCGAGGGGAGGAAGGTGAGGTCCCTGCGGGCTGCAGCGGCTCTGTGTGTTGCCCAGTGCTCAGCGGTGCCTCAGTTTCACCCACGTCAGTTCCTTGAGGGCGTTTGGTGCTCAGGCTGGAATAGGCCTCATTCTAGGAAGCAGCGATGGACACGGGTAGCTCATGGATTCACAGCAGTTGGTGTTTGCTGCAGTTAAATGGGGATCTCGTGTGAAAAAAATAAAAGCCTGTAGTAGATGTAGTAGCAAGGGAACAGTTTTCTGAGTTTCCTGAATGTCAGGTAGGATGGCTTTGTGCAGACACTTTTTTGGCTGTTAAATTTTATGATGCAGCTATGGACAAGAATTATTTACCAAAAAATGTCACATTATTTCCTTTAACAGTAGCTGAGTCCTGACCTGATTTCTGTTATGCAAATAATTTGGCCTTTTGCAGGAGCCTGCGTGTAAGAAATGGTTGTTGGAAAGAAATGGTTTATGGAAATTCTTCTTCAGAGCAGAATTCTGCTCACTGGAATGTAAACAGAGCGTGGAATCCTCTACCAACCTCTCCCTGTACGCAACCTTCTCAATCTTACTTTCAGTGATGTGGGTCCCTTTCGGCTGTTGCACCCTTGCTGGTGTGTCCAGTTAACAATAACAAGTGTCTGGCTCTGCAGGGAACTGTTATTGCTCATACTACTCTACATACTAATTGATGTCACCCAGCTAGTTTAGAACATGAGTCTCTTTGGCTTATAAGTAGAAGCACAGAGCCAGTATTTTGAAACTGATTTCTTAGCAAATATGACTTTTGCAGTTCTAGTTACATTACTGGTGCTACCTGGAAAGGTTTGTCCTCTTAACAGCAATTGGAGTCTGCAATATAGAGTAGCTTCCATCAGGCAGACCTTTCCCTTGGGTTTCAAAAGCACTTTTTATGAGCAAAGTCCTATTGAATACTGAAAAGGGAGAAGCAGACATTTGAAGTTTACTCCATATATTGATTTCTCTCAAAAGAGGTATGTTTTATTATTTCACTGTGTACATGTGCTCCAGCAGGGGAAAAAATATTAAAACAGTTGCACAGGCAACTCCTATTGAGTCAGATTTCAGTGCTTCCTCAGAGGAAAATTCAGCATTTTTGATGAAAATAAATTGAATTTTTGTGTCTCTTCTTGGATAGCTCTCTGCTGAGATGCTATACTATCTCTGTTGTCCTGCTCTTTACTATTTGCCTAATAACTGTTGGTTGTTGTTCATTCCAAGCGAACTATGATAGTTGGATGAAGAGCAGAAAAAGGAGACTGAGTAACTGTGCACGTGCTCAACTTCTGTTGCTCTCCTGAAGCCTTCATTAGTGATGCTGTAGACTATGTTTGGCTAAAAAGAACCTTGGCTCTTTAAAGTGACAAAGGATGATGAAAATGTAGCGGTTGTCACAGCAGTCACGTTTTAATCATCCTTTCAGTGACCTACTGCAGCGAAAGCTGCAAGCCATGGTGGACACAGCCCTGACCTTTTTTGAAGTTGTATCTTCTAGAAGCTGTGTCTGTTACTTCCATGTTTCCATCATGCAGCACTTTCTAAGGCAACTTTGGAGATAATCAGCGCTGCACTGTCTGGGATGTGACTGGAGCTGTGTCTTGATTCGAGAGGAATGTGGGGAATTCCGCATTCAGTTTAGCAGCCGAACTGAATGGGGAGGAAAAAAGCTCCGAACAACCAAAATGAAAGGGACATTTACTTTGAAGAAAACCCAGAGCTTCACTTGACATTCATATAGTGTGCAGATGTGGGCTCAAATCATTTTTACGGAAGATGTTTGAAGCTTGGCTTCCCACAGGATAGAACACTTGTACGTTTCAGATCATGTGCCTGCAATAAGCATAAAGACATTTAATCCTAGGATTTTTAATTTTTGTCACTTTAAATTTCATCTCTGGGAATGTTTCTTTGTGTTTTTTTTTTGTTTTGTTTTGTTTTGTTTTTTTTTTCTTCAAGGAAATGATTCACCAAAATAATTGATGAATTTTAGAATAGTCACAGGTTGGCCTGTGAGGGAGCCAGAATGAGGGAGAAAATACTGATGCAAAGAGTGGCAGAGATACAACAGAACCTGCCTGCTTCAGTAACAGCAGAGGAGCCAAGCTGACTTTGCAAAGGAGTGACCACCTTGGTGGAGTAAGTTGACCTGGCTACCTAGCAAGTACGAGCACTAGTGAAAGAAAATGTGCTGTCTGAAAGAATGATGCCTGTAAAAATAAATGCAATAACTCTACAGTTTGAACTACTGTGTTTTGGTGCAGCGGTACTGGGGTCAGCAGTGCTTATTCTTCCTTGCATTTTCTAAAACGTGCGTGGAAATGGTATAGACTTGGCAAAGTGAAGGTAATTCTCTTTTAAAAGAGAGTTCCTGAAGCAGTCTGCTGTAGCTGTGTGCTTTCTTTTCTAAAAAAGGGTTGGAAACCAAATAGTATCCATTGCGTTGTAGTCTATATATTGTTAAGTGTAGGTGGAATTTCTTGTTTACCTTTTTTATTGCTATTGTACACTTATCAGTATTTCAATGACTTTTCCACACCAAGCCTTTAATTCTTTTTCTGATGATGCGATTGCCGATTGCACTGTTTGCCTTGCACTCCCCCACTCGCACATTAAATTAGTTTACAACTGTTTGCCCTGGCCTGATTTTGACATCTGCTGAATCAATTACCTGAATCGCTAGCATCTTTTTGAAGCTCAGGGCATTGCTTTCTTTGTTTTTCTCCAAACTCGAGGGACTTGAAGGATTTATAACCACTCACTCGGTTTTTAGAGTTACATTTTATTCAGTGTGAGTTTTTTTCGGGGTCTGCAGTCCTTGCCTCTACAAACGGGGAAGCGAACTGCCGCCACCAGTCCGCAGAGGCCCTCGAGTCCCGCTACCCGCTGGGAGCCGTTTCAGTTTCTGCGTGGCGTTGTTTGAGGATCTGTCTTCCAAATTTTCTTCTTTAACCCCGACAGCGTGTCCGTACGCACACGTACAGCCGTACCAAGGCTGAAGAGTGCCAGCTGCTGGCTCTCAGGGTGCTGACGGCGCTCCCGCCCGGCGCTCCTTCTGGCACCGCTACACCCCGACTTCGGTGCGGCTCGGCGGGGAGCAGAAGCGGCGAACGCAGCGGAAAGCGGCGACTGCGCGCGTGGTGCAGCGCGGGACGAGGCGCGGCGCCACGGCGGGGCCGGGAGCGCAGGGCGGGGGAGCAATAGAACCGCTCCTTCCCTCGGCCGCGGTCGGTTCTGCTTCTCGCCGGGTCGCTGCCCGCGCTCCCGTGCGCTGTCACACGCACCCCAGGCGGGGGCTGCGCCGTAACCGCCGCTGGGAACCGCGCGCTCGCACCGAGGGGCCCCGGGCCGCGCCCCCGGGCGGGCCGTGCTCGGTCTCCGCCCCGCCGCGCGCGGGCGGCCAACGGCGTCGCGCGGGCGTGAGGGGGCGGCGGCGCGGCCGCGCTGCGAGGAGAGCGCTGCATGGGCGCAGGGCGGTGTGCAGGGCCTGCGGCCGTCCGGCTGCCGCCTGCGCTCCGCCGCCGCTCTCCGGTAGCGACTCCGGTAAGGTCCGGGGGGGTTCCGGGCAGGGCTTTCGGCGGGGCGGGGCGAAACGGAGGGAGTGCGGGCGGCGGCGCCGAGAGGAGCGACGGTGAGCGGGCGGTGTTCCGCGCCCCTCCTCGGCGCCGGGCTCCGTCCTCCGAGGCCGCGCTGCCCGCGGCGTGGGGGGGCGCGGGAGGGGCTGCCGCGGCGCGCTGGCTCTGGCGGGGTCCCGGCGCGGCCCCTCGGCGGCGGCTTCCCCGGCTGCCCGCTGCGTCGCGCTCTCCTCCCGGCCGGGCTGTGCCGCGGAGCGGGCTGCTGACACGTCTGCTGCTGTTCGGCTTTTTTCCTTTCCGTTGGGGCTGGCTCGCTCGAACCGGAGAGGTCTGGAGGCGTTTATAGCAAGCTCGGTGGGCGCTTTTGTGTTCCAAAGGCAGGCGAGGTGTTTGGAGTCGCTTAATGACCCGCGTTACCCGTGCAGCCTTAGGCACGCGGCACAAGTGCCGTCGTCCTCCCCACCCCCTGCGCGGCTCCCGACGCGGCCCCTGTAGGGTTCAGTGCGACGGCAGCACCGAGCAGCTCCGCGCTGCAAAGAGAAAAAAAGCAGAAATAATGTAAAAACAGTGGAGCTGCATTAGAGTAACTCCTGGTGAGACACGGAGTGGGAGCGTTAAAGCGATAAGGGTGCTGGTTCTGTGTTTGCCTGGCCATCTCCAGAGAGATGTACAATTTCCACGTCAAGCTGCATTCATTACTCGAATCACAGCAATGCTTCTTTACTAACAGTGGTTGAATTGCTGTGGAGTATCTGCAGCCACAACTAACTCGTTTAGTTGGCGTGTTCTGTTTTTTTCTTGTGTTTCCCGTGTAGTGTGAGCTCTGAGCATTGGCCTGGTGCTGAGTGTAATGGCAGGGCTGTGGCTGCTGCTGGAGCCAGCCCTGGCTCTGCCACCTGCAGCGGCTGCCTTCAGACAAATGGCCTAACCTGGTGTGGGAGCTCTGAAAGAGCATTCTGTTTTCCCTAAAGCTGCAGATAGCTGTTTACTTTTACCCATCTGATAGCCCCCAAGTCTGCGTATTTTTGTAGAGGAACTTTTAAGGTACGCTAAAGCAGAGCACCAGCCTTCAGGCTGATTTGCTGAGGTGTGTGGGTAAACTTTGGTGTTGAGATGTTCTAAATCACTTTTCTATATCTTTATTTTGGCTTTATTACAAGACAGCAGGCCTAAAAGCCCACATACCGACTTTCAGGATGTTTTCCCTTCTCAGGCTGTATAGGTCAAAGTTTCTTGCTCAGCACAATCCGTGTAAGGAAAAATCATCCTATCAGATCAAGGTTGACTGTTATCTGAAAAGCAGGATGCTGAGAGCAGCTGGGTGGCTGATGCAAGCTGGGATGGTTCTTGTGGTCTGTATCACATGGGGTGTTTTTGCAATTGTTGTCAGCTGTAGTAACATTTCATGGTAGAGAATGGGTCTGGGGGTGAGTGTAAAAAAGAATGTGATGCTTAAGGTTTCCAAAATAAGTAGTGAGGGAACAATCTTTCTTTTGTTAAAAAAGTATGCATCATAATCAGCTCTAGAAATAATTTTGTGTACCATTGGCTTTTGTGCAATGATGCGTATTTGCTGTGCAAATCTTTAAAAAAAAAAAAAAGTGTATATATATATATTAGAAAAGAACATCAAACAGTCAGGAACCTTGATAATGCTTCAGTTAAGCAATGTAATGTAAAGCTGCATCGTATTAAAACAATTTTTGGATCTTCTCAGTACAAAAATACTGCTTTCTGTGTATTTGTGCCCTAACCAATGCTTTTCCTTCTCCACTTCCGTTTCCCTTCGTCCATTTTAAAGGGCTTCACCTCTGGCTGGCCAATGGACATTAGGCGATCCTGAATGCTGTCTGTGGGAGCTCTATAGGCACAGCGGCTGCTGGGATGTTGCGACAGAACGGTGGAAGTAACAAACGTGGTTTGGGATTGGCCCGGCTGTCTACCTCCAACTTCTTCACCATCTCTAATTCGGGAAATTGGGGAATGGGGCGCAGCACCAAGAGCAGCTCTCTGAGCAGCATTAGCTCCAACTCTGACTGCTATGATAATCCTGTTGTGGACCCAGAATACATCATGCAGCTGGTGAATGATGTCAGAAAATTTGCAGATGTGCTACTCTACTTGAAGGAAGCCATTTGTTCAGAAGGTATGGCAGTTGTTAATCCTAAATTCTTCGGTTTCCTGAAACTCCCATGCCTCTACTCATATTTTATCTAGTTTTTGCTGTGGCTATTATCCTCCCCTTTGCTTCTCCCTTTTATCCCC